TATAGATTATAGAATTTTATAAGCAACCAAATGGGAAATAATTCTGTCTAAAGGTTTGGAGGAACAGAACAAATCAAATGCTTCCTGTGAAGAATACTGGAAACAACTCAACTGTACTTCAGAACACTCCAATCCCTGCAATTGGTAGCAGCCAGTCCCAGGTCACATCCATTTCATTTACACACTAAATATTGACCAGAACTTGGAAGTCAAGACTGCAGCTTTATAGAAAAAAGCCAATAACTTTCCACTTGAAAAGCTGTCTAACTGTATTTATTTCAACCAGACCACAGGAATTAATATTTATGAGGATGAGTGAAAGAAGGATGCTCATAGCAAAAGGGGATTATAAAAAGACAAGAATGTGAGAAGATGCTGATGGGACTGAACAAATGACATCTAAGACACACATGCAGCAGGTCCATGAAGTGACAAAAGGAGAGGACAACAGTATATGTGTAGCTGCCTACATATACAAGCACAGAAAAACTTCTTTCTGTGCTTTGTTCCACAAGTAATCCAGGAAAAGTCTCGGTACTCGTACCAAACACATTTATTACCATTGATTTAATGGCTTTATTTGACTGTTACAGGCACCCACATCTGAGACATCCCTGATCTCAGGCCAATCAAAGTAACAGTGCCTGGCACATGTTCCATTCTTCAGGGGTAAGTACTAGATCGGTTACAGGTTTAAATGTGCATGTGTTGCATATTTCTGGATTTATATCTTACATGAATATGACCAATAAAAAGTGGACAGAAGAAGAGAGCTCAGGAAAGAACTTGTCAACAGCATTTTCAGGTGAAAAAAAAAAAAAAGAAAAACAGGAGGTTTTGATCTGCAGAATGTGAAGTATAACAATTAAAACAGAAGGGTAGATACTTTGAGCTCATTAAAATTTCTTTTGAAGATGAAAGTCATTAGATTTCAATGAGAACTTGGAGCAGAAGCTCTCATTGACATGAGAATATTTAACCTGTAGCCTACAGTGCTTCAAGCAATTGAAAGTATGATAAATAATTGCTTGGCTGTAGTAACCACATAGAAGGAAAAAAAGGATTACCCTAATCAAACACAGTCAGTGTGGTGTTGCCTGTCTCTGTGCTCCACATTTCATTCTGAAAGTTTGCAGTTATAAAAACGGAAATCCTGAGTTCTTAAAGAGGAAATTGTAAAGGATTTATTTTCCTGCCACCTCCAAGAAAACTTTGATAATATTCAGGGTCAGTTCTTCAGCTGGCATGATCAGCAGAGCTCTGTGGAAACCAGTGGATCATTGCCAATTTATAACAGCTGAATGTCTGCTTTTACTACAGGGACAACCTTATTTTAGATTTTGTTTTATCCATATCTCTAACTCTTTTATTTTTTCTTCTTTAAATTAGGAACATTAAGAGCCAAATACAGTGTTTTTTTCAATCTCTCCTTCAAGGTACAAAACTCATATTTTTTTTGTGAGTTGCACCAGTGATTCTTACTCATATTTCAGTATCACCACAAAGCACAAGCCAGGACCATACAATCCTTTACCACACAGGTATTTTTAATGTTACATGCAAAAAGTCAAATACTAATGTAACAGAAGCCTAAAGCACAGATAATGGACCCTTCTGAAAAGGCAGGGTAAGCTTGTCTTAGACAGCAATTTCATGGGGAAGAGTACTTCTCACAAGAAGCCATCTAGGAAGGAAAAATTAAAACATTTTATTCTGCATATATTGCAAAAAACCCATTTTTTTCTTTCATATGAAGAAAGTGCTCTAGGGAAAGTAACTGATTTTGTGAAGCCTTTTGATTTTGACAATATCTTCTTTGGGGTTCAGTGAATACATTTCTGCCTGTCTTGGGTTGTATAAACAGGTTTTGTAGGCCCACAGCCAAGAAACCTGATGGAAAGAGATGACTAGCATGATGCTAGACCAATATCCATCCATTTCTAAAAAGACAAAGGGAAAAACCCCAAAACACGCTCATCTACAGCAAAAATATATAAATAAAGACCTAGATAACTTTTAGCCAAAATAGCCCTAAAGAAAATTTCCCCAGAGATTAGTGCTCTAGGGCTGGAAGAAGAGTCACTGGCAAAAGATGGCTTTTGGAAAGCAAAAGTTTTTTATTTAAATGAGAATGGAATGTTTGGAAAATACTATGACAGATGACCTTCATAACTTCTCAGAGGATCCACCAATCCAATAATTTTCTCATTTGACTGGTAATGAAAGAAACCCAAGTTACATTTCTTGCTCTGGCAAAACAATCTCAGAATCTACATTGCTCACATCCCAGGTGACTGCCTGGACCACCTAAGAGTCACTGAGTTTGGGCATATCTGTGTTGATGTTCTTTTTTAGACCTTTCACAAAAAATGTGATGAAAATATTCATGTTTTCCCACAAATCATTTGCGAGGGGAAGAGAATCCAAAAGTTAAAAATGAGAGATGCATCATCTGAGATGTACTCAGTTCTGATAGCTAAAATACACTGTAATCTTTCTGAAAAATCTGTTATCTGATTGGATACTCAGATTTCAACTTGATAAGCACTAATACCAAGTTACATCAATTTTGTTGCACAGGAGGTCTTTTGCTCTCACCTTTTGCTGGAAATCCCAGCACTGGCGAAACTGAGAAAAGCTTGTTAAAAGCCTGTCTCACTGAAAGATTCCCTATCTGCCTCTGGCTGTTTTGAAAAACAAAAAAAAAAATGTTATTTTGTTACATGCAGCTGCTGAAAAAATGCGGGCGTACAAGATCTCGTGTGGCAATTGCTTCTGTGATTGCTCTACAGTAAAGGGCTGTAAAGACCAGACCATGACAGTCAATGAAAAACCTCTGCCACAGTCCCTGGCAAATGTTTCAGTGGAACAATGTGCTCTGCATTTGCAAACACTGTTAAAAAAAGGTTTCACTAACATCAATAAAACCTCCCCAGAATCTGGCAGAAAACTCCCATTATAACTTTAAATAATTCAAGCAAATTGAACCCTTTCCTGAATATACTCTGAGATAAGAATGTTTTCTAAATATTTGAGAAAGGAAAGGGAAAAAAAAGGTTAAAATATAAGGGCAAACTTACGTAGAATCCTCCCAATGAGTAGCTGTCTAAACACTGTACATTTAAGATCCCTACCACAAAACAAAGATATTCCTTTGCTGCTTTGGTTCTGCATAGCCCCACAACCAGACTATCTGGGACTAAATCTGAAAGCAGAATTCAGGCACGCTGTAGCATCCAATGTTTAGAAAATCCATTGCACTTGTAGTAGTATTCATAATACTATTATGTTAAATTTAGCTGGTTGAATTCTGCTCTTACTTATACTTCACACGTGTCATCTTAGGGCATACAGGGCATGCAACAAGGCAGCTTTAACTCAGCATAGGGAGAGATTTGATATTTGAAATACATTTCATCTTTTGAAAGCCATACTTTTCCCAATAATAAATTAGTATCCCCAAGGTCATGCAATCTGTGTTTTTTCCCACTCAGCTAAAGATGGTGTTAAGGAGCTAAAATGAAAGGAATATTGTCACTGGGTTATGTAGGGTGATGTGCTCAGTGTCATCCTCTGGCACTTGGGACACTTTGTTTGGTAAGGAAATGAGCTGGAGCCCAGGAGCTGCAGAGAAGTTCCAGGCTGAGGGTCTGACAGAGGGAGTGCTGGGCTGCAGGCTGTGTGTGTCCCCAGGGGGCTCTGTGAAGTAGATGAGTTGCTTTCTTAATTATATAAACATATACTGTTATTATTGGTTTGCCTAACTTTTACAAAGAAATATTAAAAATACTTGCAAACAAGCACACAGAGCACTGACCCCTCAAGCATCCCACTGGAGTGCCAAAGGCTTAGTTCTATTTAAAACAGTCCTGTTAAAATACCTTATTTGTATGGAAAAAATGCTCCAAAAATCTCAGGTAAAATTTTAAAGCTATCTTCCTCGGGTAAGTAGAAATCATCAGAGCAAGTAAACTTATTCTAAATAATATTTACTGTCATTAAAACGTCTTCATTTTCTTATATTATGTACATGGAAGTAGAAATCACAGCTGGTCAGAGTGCCCAAGGTGAGAGAAGACACCTATGGCTCTGAGCACATTAAGCCCAGTTCCTGGGCTAACAAACCCTGCTAATTACTGCTCTGTTGTCCCTCCCCTGCAGGCACCATCTCCAGCACGTTCTGCCACCAACCAAGCTCTGCTCCACCAGCCCTATGACCAACACCTGTAGAGCTCAGAGGATCTTTTCTCCCTGACAGCCTTAACCAAACCACTTTTCCAGGCTTGCCATTCTTCAGAACACTGTCAGGCTTTGCTATCACCAACCCACTATTTCCAGAATTCAGTTAAGTGCTTATCACTTAAAACTTTAAACACTAATTGCTTAGTAATGAAAACTTGAATTGATCAGAGAGTAAACTTCTGCTAGATGACTGGCAGAATTCCAGCTCCAGTCCCTAATAATCAAAATCCACTAAAATGGCATTTTAAAATGTCTTTTGTTTGAAAACCATTCTATACCCAAGTGTGTGAAAATCTAGATGCAAGATAGTAATTTTAAGTGTTTCTAGGATTGAGCCAAAAAAAGTTTCTGAATTAACAATTGTTGATTTGGGCTTGAATAAAATCTGTGTTAATCTTCAAAATATCTATGTTATTAAAATAATATTTCTCCTTCCTTTATTTCACCTGTTTGTGTTGTCAGGTACATCAATCCCTCTTAGAAATGTATGCCTCAAGAGAAAGATACTCAGCTTCCTCCTAACCTGGTGCTCAGGCTGGAGACTCTTCCACTGTCACTTTGATAGGATTTACTATTGATTGCCAAAGCTACTGTGTAACCTGAGGAATTTTCCTCACCTTCTAAAACAGCATTCTGAATTTTCACCACTTTAGATGAAATATTGCCAGAAATGAAGCAGCTCATTCCCTGCATATTCTGCTTGTTTACTGTGGGTGCTGATGGAGCTGAGTAGAGATGGTACATGTGAAACATTGGATTACATTGAATAATGAAAAGGAAATAAATGCAAACTGAATTCTTAGCACACCACTAACTATTCATGGCATTGGACTGGATTCCTCTTTCTAGGTTTTAGAAATTGGAGAAGAAACACCCTGAAAACATGCAAAGCACTAGTGCTACTCCTTAGCATCTCTTAATTGTATTTAGTCCATGGTCAAAATCCCAACCCACTTCTTTAAGATCTCTTACATGTCACAAGAGCTTTGCAGAGGTTTTGGCAAGTGTTCCCAAACACAGACCAAGATAGTTTCTTTTACTTTTACCGTCAGGGCCACAATATGAGAAGCTTCTGGCACTCTGATGTTCTGTCACTTTTTAATGCAAACTCTGGAAGTTCACGGACACAATGCTGCACAATCTGAGGAAGATAAATCACAGTTACTTCAAGCCAGTTGACAGCAGTTTAAGCAGCTGCAATCATCAACCACCAAGGGAGTTTCTTCTTTTATCTTACTAAATGCAAAAGTATACCAGGAGCTGCTAATATCACTGGACTATCAGGAGTCCTGCTTTTACATAAATATCAGCAAGCGGTAAGTAAATTCTGTTGACGAAATGTAATAAAACAAAGACGGTTTCAAATATGACCATTCCCTGATGCATTCTGTAGCCCCCTCTTACTCACTTATTGCATGCTGCTGAGATTATAAGGTTTGCTTTTATCTGTCAGAAATCAATATTTCAAACATCGGATAAAAGAGGAAATTGAACTGGGAATAGGCTGAAGTGCTGTAAAAACTACAAAGCACAATTATCAAAAAGCACTTAAAGTACTTAATAGGACACACATATAAAAATGCTCAAATTAATGTCAGGGAACTATAATGAGAACTTTTTCTATGCTTTTTGATCCAAATGCAATGCAATTCGAGTGCAGCCTGGTCAGTCAATACAGTTTTCAATTTATATGAAACCCTAAGGATTTCTAGCAATCCATTTGCTAGAACTGAACCATTACATATGATTGGTTAATATTTCAATTTATTGAAAATACATTATTTTGTGTAAAGTGTTTAAGTTGTTGAGGTTTAATCATTATAAACAGTTATGATAAAAATAGATCTTTGGGTAAACAAAGACCTTACAGTCAAGCTTTTAATAAAGTATAACTAGAAAATTGGATTTTAAGAGGAATAGACATAAGGAAAAACTGCAGATATGGGGTCGTAAGCTGAGAGGAAATTGTTGTATAGAATGGATCTTTATCAGCACACATTAAGCTGAGAAGGGACTTTGTTAAACCTTGCAAACCATGGTTATTTTATGCAAAAAAACCTCCTCACTATTAACTTTAGTATCTTCCCCTTAGATTTTTATATTCATTTATCATCTTTAACACTACTGAGCTGGAGGTGGTTACAAAACTATGATAGATCAGAAATCACTGCAGATGAAAGTGCACGTGTCTGTATGAACACACCAGCATCCATGGAAAACACTGAGTGACTTCAGAAAATTTTATATGAAACACAAAGAGCTGCAACACACAGAGGAGTTATAGCCATGATTTGAATAAACAATATACACATTAATTAAATGGCTTTATCCAACTGTAGCACTCTTTCCTAATCTACACCCCACAAGGAACAAGGGACTCTTGGAAATCTTTCTTTGTGGAAAGTTATTCTTAACACTCACACTTCATGGTTATACTTGAACCACGACATTTCTTTCATAGGAGGGGACCTTTACTCCACCACAATTAAAATGTGCCTCTGAGTGCAACTACACCAAACCCTCTGAACTATGGATCAGGCTGTGGTTTCCACTAACAGACAAACTGTTCCATAATCCAAACACCTTCCCACCACCTTTCCTCATTATAGTTCTGAGCCTAATACAGCACAACCTCTTAGTTAATAGCCCTACTTTTTAAAGTCTAATCTGAATCATTGTTACTATATTGTAGTCCTACTTCTTGGTCTATTTTATGTGATGAGGAAAAGGTTATAGTACTCCCTTTTGCAATAAATTTGACTATGTAGGGCCAGTGATCACACGGGATCTTTCCAGCACACAGGTTCTGTGAGTAGTTCAGTCAGGCCCTGATAAAGACAGTTAATGACTTATGCAATTCACCAAGTTAAAATGCACAATACACAGCCAAAATCTCTCTTCTCATAATTCCAGTCTTGTGTATGTTAGCAAAATGTAACATGATTTAATTGAGGGAACTGGCAAAGATATCCCCTAAAAATAGTTTTCACCTTTGAAGACAACTTTGACAAAGCTAAAAGTAAATAGATTGCTTCATTGCATACTGTATTCATTTGAATAGTGTCTTGAATTTTCAGATCTCCTGATCCAGCAGGTTGGTTTTCTGAATCAACAGAATCATCACAGACCATGCAACCTGTTCCAAACAGTGCATTTTTCCAAATAAAAAAAGTAATAAAAATTGTTTTGTTTTCTCTGAGGATAAAACATGCTAAGATCTGGTAATGTAATTGTAGTTATGGCAGTCATAATTGCATAATGCACTTCACAGAAGCTTTTTCTATTGCACCTTATTGGTTTTTTTCCTTCAATTATTAAATTCAGAGGCTTAACCTCAAAAGAAAAGGCACTTGTCTTTACATACACATGAATTGTTACTGCCATTTAAAACTAATCAATGTTTTCTTTAGTACCATAATAGCTTATTTGCAAAGCACCTCTTAAAGAGATATTTGCACGGTGTTCTGGAACCAAACATGTTTCACATTCTAAGAAAAACTCCCAATAAAGACAAAGAGGGCTTCATTCTCATCTCAAAGTTCAGTGCAACTAAAGTGACTTAAAGAACTTAAAAATTTGTCCACAAGGGACTTACTACTATATTATACCCCTCTATTAATAAATAAGACAAAGAAAAACTATGCGTTGTACACAACCCCTATATCCCTAGAGAAGTCCAGGAAATTAATTTTCAAAGGCACAGCATATAAATATATGCTTTCATTAATGTTAACAGGAAAGCAAACAGTCAAAATCTTATTATTAACCTGTGTTTAAATACACATTCTGTAGAAATAATATACCACTCCTGGCTTGGACCTTCAGCTGCATAAAACTCAGGACACCAAGGCCCCACTGAGGGTAGAAAGCTCAAAGTAATCCAGTAAAGTCACAACCTGCACTCAGAGTGAGTTTGACACAAACAGGGAACATGGGGGAGGCTTTGAATTAGTCTCTGTAAACTTCTCCAGAAAAAGATCACAGAAACCAAGATAAGTAATATAAGTACCCCTAATGTCTCAAGATCTGCAGTTATTTAACAAAGAGAAGTTTGAATGGAGGAAATTTTGTGCAAAACTCTCAAGCAAGCTTTTTTTCATTTCCAAATGTAAACACCTACTGCTTTAATAAGCAGATCACCCCCAGCTCAAATATGCCTATATTTAAAGTCATCAAACCCATTGATTCCAGTAGAGTAGCAAGACTATCACTACCATGAAAGTTATAAAACCAAAGCTAATAAGGGACCAAGCTTTGCCAAAGGCAAGAACCAGAACTATAATTGAAAGCATTGGACAAAGGGGCTGCCACAAAGTAATGCAATGACCTATGCCAAAGCAGCCATGCTATAGACAATGTTATTTCCTACACCAATTTTAAATTGTATTTTTCAGTGTATTTGTATCTGTGAATTTGGAATCTATTACTTTTATCATCTGTAATGCACAGCCAATATTTTGCATTTGCAATCTTGAAAATTCAATGGGGGGGCAGAACCCTTTTGCATTTTAGCAGTTTGTTGTATCTAAGTGCTAATGATATGTGGTATCTATCATATATTGCAAGTACTCTTACATTACAGAAATCAATTCATTCCCTGATTTCCTTTTATTAACCAAGAATATCTTTCCAGCTGGTCTTAAATTAAATATTTTGTTAAGGATCATTAAGGAATTATATAAACTCCTCATAGTTCTCACTGCTAATCATAAGCATTTCATTCAACTGTGCTATTAATCTGAAATTTGCCTTCCAGTTTTACTACAAAGCCTTTTTAAAACAGGTATTGAAATAAGAATAAAACAAATCATCCAACAAAACTACTTCATTTCCAAAAGAGAATTTCCCAATTGAATTAATATAAAATATAAACCATAAAATAATTTACTTAGAAGGTTAAAATAGTGTGATTGAAAAATGAATACTAAGATTTTTCCATTTCTCTTCACTTGAGTTAAAATAAAGGAAGCTCAAATTATAGATTATTCCCTCTCTTTAAAAAAGGTAGAAGGTGGTGAGACAGTGCTGGGTGGATGCACAGTAGTAATGGATTATGGAGATTTTTGTCTCCTGGGTCACTGTTATGAATCTGATCCAAGACAGCAATGACGAAATGTCAGTGCCATTTTATGGCTTTTAGCATGAAATCCTGACCCTGTGAGGTCAATAGCAAAACATCAGTAGTGCCAGGATTTTCACCTTTTGAATCTGTAAGATGCAAGAAGAATTAAGGTCTGACTCAGCATCCATTGACTTTAATGGGAGTTATACTAAGTTCAAGGTGCAGGTTTTGAAAAGTCCTTAGGTGCTGCTTTGCTCAAGCTTTAATAAGAGCTGGATCCTTCAGATGACTCAAGCACTTAAAACTGCAGCATTAAAACTATAAACTTTTATCTTTAAAGTGAAATGTCCTGATGACTCTCATCCCCTTGCTCCACTGCCTGGATTACTCTGCTCCATTAGGCTGAGCACTGAATAAGAGCCTCTTTCACCACACGTGTTCGCTTCTCTGGCTTCTTTCTCTGAAAGCAAAATCCTTGTCCCAGATGACACAGGGTCCAAAACCTCTTGGATCACCATGTTTGTGGCCCTCAAGAAATCTGGCATAGACTGTGGCTACTGCTCTGCATCCTGTCTGGTCAACTTACAGTCAATTCCCACTCCAACAAAACGGGAGATTTCTGGAGTACAGGAACAGTACACTTTTGGGTCAAAATGACTAAATTAACAAAGCAGCAGAAGTCATCAAACATGCTTTTTGGAGTGATTAATTCAAAGAAAACACTTATCAATTTAATGAAAACAGGCAGAGGTGGCTTGTTATTTTATTTCATTTGCTTTGATGGCAAGGGTTTTATAGAAAGGACATCACCAGCCATTTTAAACCAGTGGTCACAGGAACCTAACTCTAAGTCTTGCCACTTTGCAAGTTTGGAGATGCTTAATCCTGAAAAGGAAATAGGAATAGAATACAAATGAGTTGTCAAATTTTAAGTGTTTATCCAAAATGAAAATAAATTTGTAAAATGAAATTATTTGATTGTGCCCTCCAAAAATACTACGATGCACAAACACAGAAATTATGTCTTGCTGTAACATATGCTTTCCAGGCATATTTATATTTCACTTGCAGTCCAGGCGTGTGCTCCTAAAAGTATTTAGCTATGCTGAAAACCACCAAGGAATTAAACTGGATGAAAGCATGCTGAGGAAGTTGTTGGAGGTTTAATTACCTTTTCTTTTTTTTCTCTTTAGTGGGAGTTCTGAATTCTGGAGGAGTAAAACTCCAGTCTCTACTGTATTGAAATGATATTTTTTTAGCACTCCAATCATTGTCTCTACTTGACTAAGACATTTCTGTGCTAAAGCAGGTGCATTTACTTTTCAAGTATTATTTTACTAATCAATTGAAAAATTACCTCCATGAATGACAGAAGTGCAGACCTTTGGAGTATTTCATTAAAAGGAGCAAACATTAATTACAAATCCAGCCCAACCTTTGCAGACATAAATTATGGGATGGATCTATTTTCTCCATGCTTAATTGCAAGCAGTGACTAGCTCTTTAAATTATTATCTCCAAGGCATGAATGAAATTAGAATGGATTTGGTGATATTCTCAAGGCTTATTTGTATCTAAATAACTTGGCCATGTACTGTCTGGAGATACAAGGAAAATTAGGTGAAGCACCTTTGAGCCTTTCAACAGTGCTAGCTTACCATGAGAAAAATTGGGAATTGCAAAATGGAATTAGAACCTTAAAGTCATTGCAGACTAGGAGGTCTAGATGCAGCCTTAAAAATGAGATAGTTGATAATGTCCAAGTATTTTTCTTCTAACCTAAATTCTCAAAATTTTGGTTGTTTGTAATTTTCTGAAGCATTCACGTTTCTGGCAGAATATTCCAGGCAATATCTTTCCTGAAAGGTAATATTTACATTTCAATAAAAACAAGCACTTTTCTTGTGAAGTAAAACCCCCTTCCTAGAGAATTAAGAAGTTTGAAAGTTTGATTTTGTAATAGGCACAGAGCTGACATGTTTGTGGCTGTACCAAAATCTGGCAGGAAAAAAGATGAATTGATTGGTCCATTGAAACATGCAGGGAACAGAAGGTGCAGTTTGCTATGATGAAGAGTGAGAAACAGATAGATAGATAGATAGATATAGACAGAGAATGCAAGGATCATTTGTTAATACAATAATGAAGAAAGAGATGTTTGGTTTTTTAAAATGTACATAACGATTTAGATACTGAATTGGAAACAGGAAGCCTTCTATAAGAACTTTGTTTTTTATATACTACAGTGGGTGTGAACAAATGAGTCTCACAAGACTCCATGGGTACTGCCTGACCCATGTTTTTACTGCCCTTCTACCACAAAAGTTAATAATTTGGCATTGCATACTTTAAAAACAAATAGATAATTATTGCTTGGAGTTTAATTTACTTGTGTCATGATACAGTAAATACCAAGCTGAATTCTCACAGTGTTAATCATTAACCGGGGAGAGAGCATTTGCTTAAAATGCATTCCTTCAACTTTGACATTTCATGATCACACTGGCAGGTATTTCAACAACAATTTCAAATATTCTGGAGATGTAAATAAGTTCAAGTCCCTCTAAAAGCCAAACCCTTTCCACCTTTTAACTTTTGGATATAAAGTTACCCGCCATCTCTGCTGCAGGAACAGCCTCTGGCAGCAGAATTACAGAAGTTCTGCACACCTGGATTGTTTGAGGTACAGATGAAGCCAAATTCAGACTCAGAGGGTTTAACTGTGGAAGACATCATGCAAAGAGCAGGGCAGGGTACCTTAAAAGGAACATTCCTCTGATGGTACTGGTATTTTAAAAAAATGTTCTGCTTTGACAGACTTCTCAGGCCCATAGTAAAATGTTTCTGGAACTGAGTTGAAGACTCTGTAATAAAATTAGAGGATTTCTTGAAAAAAAAAATATTCTTCTGAAAAAAATCGAGATTGGTTCCAAAAATTTAGAAATACCTGATCCAGCAAAGAAAATACTTCATTGGCTTCATCATTTTAAGTGTCTTGCTTAGGAGAGGGAAGAGTGAGAAAATCTATTTCCTAGAATTTTGGAAGTGTTTATGTTCCCTTTCTTCTCCATGGTATTTCATCTTAATTTCAAAGTGAGGAGTTAAAGATTGATCTGGAGCTTGAGAAAAGCATTCAAGCAGAAGACCACGGGGGACAGAGTGAACCCTTTACCCATATTGCTTGAGAAAGGCACTGCTTGGCAAGATGTTCCTGGGAATGATAATATCATAGGTTACCTATTTGCTCTGGAATCTAAACCAGAGCACCACACTTAAACCACCTGCACCTACAATGAAGGTAAATATATTATGAGGATCTCCCCACTTACACAGGCCTTAGTGGAATGTATGATTCTTCAGAGATCTGGTCAAATTCCTCAGTTTTGATAGTATATCAGTCTATTCATTGATCATGCCCTTTATATTTCTTTAGAAAAAAGAACATCACTAACAATTGCTGGCTTTAACACCTTGCAGCTTATATATAGCTTCTCATATAAGGAAGAAATACCTTAAGCACGGTGTGAAAGTAGCACCAATATAATTTGTAAAATGTAGATATGTAGGAGCAGAGAAGGTAGGAAATCAGTTAAATAGAATTTTTAGGAATTAAGATATTTTCTTCATCCAGACTTATGGAAAAGAAACAGAGCTGGTAGAATATGAACTTTTAACCAACAGAAACATTTTTCCCTCCGAGTATAGATTTGCAGACAGAACTTTGCTTCATGCTGCAAAAATTATGAATCGAAATATTGCAGAATCATGATTTTTATCTAAATATTAACCACTGCTGTATGAATTCCTGTTTTACAGTCTAAATGCAGGCAGCTGCTTAGTCAGACATTGCTGTGCACCGAAACAGGCTGCATTAATTACAGCTGAGCAGCAGTGTGAGCAGAGGCTGCTGTGAGCCAGAGCCCGGGACACAGAGCAGCTGCCCCCAGCCATGGAGGTCACAGCCCTTCCACCCAGGGCTGCAGCAGCTCACAGGGGGCTGCTCCTCGCCAAAGGGTGCAGGACACAGGCTGTGACAGTGGGGACAACCACAGGGCACTGATGAGCAGCTCAAGTGCAGCTGCTCCAGGGCTGCAGCATGAGCCCATTGGACTGCAGGAGCCAGGAAGGGGCCCAGGCTCTGGTGCAAACACAGGCAACAACCTGAGCTCACAGAGGGCTCATCTGTGCCCCTGCAGCCTGGCTCCAGTGACTCCAACAAGTTCATGTGCCTGGACATGCAGCACTGCTCCCTGTAAGTGAGCCATGACCTGCTCAGTATCTCCATTTTTTGTGTGCAGAAGGATAACTGGTATGGAGCACCAGCCCCTGGTGTGACCTGTGCTGGGAGGGCTGGGAGCTGTCTGGGATTCCAGCAAACGGCTCCCAGGAATGCTGGTCACCCCCATCACTCCTGCTCCACACAGACACAGCTCCAGACACACAGACACAGCTCCAGACACACAGACACAGCTCACGGGGCTGGCCATGGCAGCCACACTGGGGCCACAAAACACAACGGGTCCAACAGCAAGAGTTGCAATCTGCAGAGTTCTGCTCTCCTCCTCTGTCCAGTAAACTCCAAAATAACAACAAAGAGAAACATCAATCCTAGCTCCATCCAAATGAATGGCTATGGAACAGAGAAGTGCATCTGTTCAGTGATTCTGAAGTGAGCTGACTCCTTGCTGTGCCACCACTTCACCTTACCTTATTACAGCCTGATTTATTGTGGATTTTGTTGAAATCCAACATGGGGTAACAAATGATTTTTATTATGTCTATTTGAGCTACACCTACTATTTGAATGCATCACCTGCAAACTGTAAACAACCTTGCTGCACATTGTGTAATCACTGTGGATTGAACTCTTAAAGGATAAAGACACAGAATGGTTTGAATAATAGTTCTTGTTATGTCCTTCTCTGACAGATGAATATGAAGAATAACTTATTTTGGCCAAAACAACTAATTCTGGGTGAATTTATGTCCTTAATGGGAGATCTGCCATGACAAACAAGAAAGGTTTGGTACATTCTAGGCAAAAGAGGAATATCTTAAATTAAAAGTTGCAGTAGGCTTCAGTGTTCCTGCTGACCCTTCTATTAAATCTCCATAACAATGTAATAAGCTAGAATTCATTGTCTTTTACTTTATTCAAAAGAGGGCAACCTCCAGGATAAAACAATATTGAGAAATAAAATTTACCTTGGATTAGTTTCATGTAAACATAAAAACCCCAACTTCTCAGAACTCATGTGAAAAACATAATGTAGTTAATATTAAATACAAAGATTATGCAACCTATTACTTTTACAGTTTGTGCTTCTGTGTCCTTGATTTTGTCCCTGTTTTGCTTATGATTAATGAATGACTCACCCTCAGTACCCTCTCATTTATTTCATACCTCATTATGAATTTGAAATGGTCAATTTGTTATTTGAAAACAGCAAAACAAGCATGGAAGTTAAACAGTGTTAAAAAATGCAAATGACATTTTTAGAGATAAATTGCTATTCTATAATATTTTAACAGTTTACATTTTTAATTACTTTTGATACAATTTTGAAGAGTGTACTTGACTTATTCCCATAGGATACCAGGTGGAGTTTCTCCATGTAATTTATTTGAAGATCAGGAGTGTCAGTGCACTCTATACAGTCACTCACACACAAATCCTACAATGACACCTGGTGTACTTTTCAGTTTTCTATTTTGGCTTGTCAAGATCCTATGCTATAATTCCCCCATGTCTTCTCATTTGTTTTGTTTGGAATTATTTTACCAGGGTATGATACTTTATAACGTTTTGTGATTATACTGTCAGCATTCAGATAGGGACAAAATAAAGGCTAGGAAAAAACCCCCAAAACTTTTGTGTATATTAAGTAAGTTCACAACTGTTAAAGGAAAACCCACTAACTTATTTATACTGAAAACAAAGTTTCATACCAACAGTTCACAGTATTCCTTTTTTGTTGTTATATCCTTTTTTAGTTTTGATAATTACTTTCATCAAGAGAATTTGATAGTTTCAAATGTTTTCTTGAGCAGAAAAAATTGGCTTGGGTGACATCAATGCTAAATACCATTCTGGGGAGCACTCAGAAGCATAAACCAAAAAGTCTATATTTTCTCTCTTTATTGAGTAAAGTCTGACACTGCACATACTTCAGTGTGGGATAATCCAGTCCCTCCAGAAGCCCTTGCAGTCTTCTCTTTTCTCATCACTTTGGCAATCTTTTCCACACCAATGAGAGGAGCTAAAATCCACAAAGACTTCACTGTGTGCAGGCATTGCCTTTAAAGCCCCAGTGGCAGCTGCACCCAATTCGTCCTGCAGAAGAGAATCCATCTCTGTGCCTTACCTTTTTCAGTTTCTGGCTCAAGATGTGAAAGCAGAAACACCTGCACCTCCTATTTCTGCTCTATTTTATTTGCAGCTGAATTATGGCTGTGAGATTTATTCAGGGTGCATAAACCAGCCTCATGCTGAGGCTCCATTCAACAGAGAGTAGAATCCAGAATCCGTGGATGTTAAACAGACAGGTAGAAATCAAGCTTAACCAATTGCACATTCTTCACTCTGTACAACATGCACGGCTATTTGTGGTGCCAAGTTCAGTAGCTTAAATATTGTGTCATCATAAAAATACTCTAAATGAGCATGGTTATTAAGTGCAGGCTGACCTTCAGCTTTGGCTTTGTTTAATATTGTAGATTTATGCTTTCCCCCTAGCTCATTCAGAACACTTTGTAGAGTGGTTTATTAAAGTATAACTAAACATTGTCCTTGATGTTCATATATGTTTGGAACAATTCCAAATCTATGATCTTTTCCTTGAATTTTGTCAACACATTCACTACAGGCCTTTATTCTGCCTTCAATTTCAGTGAAAGCTCTACAAAGATCATTGTTTTAAATCAATTCCACCTATGATGCACTTTAAGATTACTGAACATGTTGTCCTTCAAATTAACAAAATCAAATACCCCTCCCAATACCCTCTTATTCCTGTCAAGCTCTGTATTAGCTTTCAGTGTGCACAAAAGAGATAACATCTTTACACATGGCAAGTGTAAGAGGTAATAATAAAAGGTAAATTTGACATGAGTCATGAAGTATGTGCAAAAAAAAAAAAAATGAAACCCTCCCCCTGAAAACTTCATGAAGCTAAAATAAAAATAGAGTTGGTGATGGCTATTGTAGAAACCAGAAAAAACTACACAAAGAAGGTAGAATTTATAACTACATTATTTGAGTATTATCCTCAGAATGATCAAATGAATGACTTATTATCCTTATTATTATCCTTATTATCCTTAGACTGATCAAAACCAAAACACAGTGTAGAGGAACTGAAGGTATGTACTGATGGGTTTATCTCTAAGGATTTAATCTCCAGTAAGTGGCTTTCTGATTAAGCAATTAATGCATTTGGTCTCCTTGCCTAACTGGAATGAAATTCTACTTCTCAAGGAAAATGCTTGGAGATAACTAAAATCAGTCTAAAACTTAACAAGTAATACTTCTGTTACTTGAAGTGTTCTATTTTAAAACATAATTTATACTTTATTATTCTAAAAATACCAAGACATATCTCCAGGAACTATTCAGTCTTCATTCTGAATCAAAAAATCCATTACTCTGTTATCCACACCTTTCATTTACACTGCAGACCACTATTTATTGACACGAGGCACCCAGGGCAGCCCAAGTAAAACATGCATCCTACAGACTCAGAGAATACAGCAGTGAAAATACCACTATCATAAATATCAAAACTGCAAACTACACGAAATGAAAGAAGACCAGGTTCTGCCTTATAGTGCTGTGAGGCAAATTCATC